ACTTGAGGTCAGGAGTTTGAGACTAGCCTGGCCAACATGGCGAAACCTTGTGTCTACTAAAAATACAAAAAATGAGCCAGGTGCGGTGGTGTATGTTTACCTGTAATCCCAGCTACTCAGGAGACTGAGGTGAGACGATGGCTTAAACCCAGGAGGCCAGAGGTTGCAGTGAGCCAAGATCACTCCACTGCACTCCAGCCTGGGTGGCAGAGTGAGATGCTGCCTCAAAAAATAAAAAATAAAAATAAAATAAAAGTCATTAGCAGACCCAGCCAGGCTATGCCTATTCTTTTGGAGGCTGCTCTGAAACAACTTTTATTACGTGAGCAACTTTCTGTACAATAAGATAACCTTTGTTCACCATGCCATTCCTCCCCTTTCCCTTCTTGTTGTCATTTCCCCCAAAAGCCTCAAGCCCCATTCCTTTACACTATAAAAACTTCAGTCAGACACAGTGGCTCATGTCTGTAATCTCTGCACTTTGGGAGGCTATGGTGGGAGGATTACTTGAGCCTAGGAGTTTGAGACCACCAAGGCAACATAGTGAGACCCCATTTCTAAAATAAACAAACAAGCACAGAAACAAACAAAAAAAACCCTTCAACCATCAGGCCCCTCCTTTAAGTCTCCCATTCTGTGAGGCTCCAGTGCACATGCATGAATTAAAATGTTTTTTCTCCCCTGCTTCATGAAACCTATGGCTCAAGTTTAAAAAAAAAAAAAGTAAAGAAAAAATAATATTCACATCCACAATGCTTAAAAAAAATGAAAAAGAAAAAAGATAAAACAATAAATAAAATGGTTTTTCTCTTGTTAATCTGTTTATTATCAGTTTAATAGGCCTAAGTAACAAACTTTCAGAAGGAAAATTTAAACTTCCCTACACAGCTAACAGTGGAAAAGGAACAAAGACTTTCGGCATTTTAGCAGCTAGCTAAAATAAAATATGTTTTTATTTTTCTCTGATTACAAACAAAACTGAGTATCAAATGCACAAAGTGAGAATTACACAGGGGAAAAAAATCAGATATTTTCATATATATATATCACCTTTTCAAGGCTATTTCCATCCAGAATAACCTTGCTCTGCCAGGGCCAATAGAAAGAAGTCACAAAATCGCCTTTAGTCAAATTTGTGTGTTTGCTTTCTTCTATAATTCCAATACCTCCACCATCAACCACTTGAGATAGCTGCCAAGGTGTTATATAATCAGTGCCAGTGTCTTCATTCATTCTACAACGCTAAAAAAAAAATCGAGATAATTTTATCCAATATCAAACCACTCGAATTTACCCAGTGACTAAAAGTATATAATGAATAGTGTATCACATACAATACACAAAAATCAATTCAAAATAGATTAAAGATTTAAACATAAGACCTGAAACAACATGGTGACTATAGTTAATGACAATGTATTATATACTTGAAAACTGCCACTGGCCAAGCGAGGTGGCTTACACCTGTAATCCCAGCACTCTGGGAGGCCAAGGCGGATGGATCACCTGAGGAATTCAAGAGCAGCCTGCCCAACATGGTGAAACCCAATCTCTACAAAAATACAAAAATTACCTGGGCATGATGGCAGGTGCCTGTAATCCTAGCTACTCAGGAGGCTGAGGTGGAAAAATTGCTTGAACCTGGGAGGCGGAGGTTGCAGTGAGCCGAGATTGCACCACTGCGCTCCAGCCTGGGTGACAGAGTGAGAGCCCATCTCAAAAAAAAAAACAAAAAACTTGCCAAAAGGATAAATTCTAAGTGTTTTCACCACAAACAATAAGTATATGATGTAATCCATGTTAATTAGCATGTTAGCATGATACAGCTACTACACAATGTAAAAATATTTCAAAATATCATGTTGAATACCATAAACAGACAATTTTTTTTTGAGACGGAGTCTTGCACCATCACCCAGGCTGGAGTGCAGTGGTGCCATCTTGACTCACTGCAACCTCTGCCTCCCAGGTTCAAGCAATTCTTATGCCTTAGCCTCCCCAGTAGCTGGGACTACAGGCATGTGCTACCACGCCTGGCTTATTTTTGTATTTTTAGTAGAGATGGGGTTTCACCAAATTGGCCAGGCTGGTCGTCTCGAACTCCTGACCTCATGATCCACCTACCTCGGCCTCCCAAAGTGCTGGGATTACAGGCATGAGCCACCATGCATGGCAACAATTTTTATTTGTCAATAAATTTGTCTTTAAATAAAAAATTTTTAAGTTGTGGTGACAGTTGCAAAGCTCTGTGAATATTCAAAATTGTACATTTAAATGCATCAAATGTATGCTAGTGAATAAAGCTAAAATTTTTACAGAATTACTTAAGGAAATTAAAGTAATATTATACAAAATATACTAGCAAAAATAATACAAAATACTTTTTTGATGGTTTCAAGGGATTGTGGCCAATTAGATACACTCACATGTTGCTGATATAATACAACTATTTTTTATGGAAAACTAGCAACATATAGGCCATAAAACTTGATTTCTTTTGGGCTAGGAATTCTGTCTCCTCATTGAAAATAACCCAAAAAGAAGTGACCAAGCACTTTCCCTATTTCATGCCCCCTAACTACAGACGAACGCTCTCTTCACCTCTCAAAGACAGAGTGCCACAGTCGGACCACACCCTGTCTCAAGAGGAGGGCTAACAACTTCTCTGGGTAGCAGTCAAGGCTCTCTTCCTCTTGCCTCTATCATGAAATCCAAAATGTAGAGGACCATATCATGGACCAGGAAATGGAAAACATGGAAGGACTCTTGATTAAGGGGTCCCATGTGGTTCAGTTTACCCGGGTAAATAATAAAACAGAGAATTAATGCAGAAGCTTCTATAAGAATACATTTACTTCTGTTTGTGTGCTACCTCCCATCTATTCCTTAAAAGCAAGCGCAGCCATAGACACCGGCCAGACCAAGGGCCTGATACTTAAACAAAGCTAGTAGAAAAAATGGAAATAAGTTCTGTGAGATATAGGGAAAAAATCTACTTTTTTTCCTACTGTCACTCACCACTCAACACAATACTTCTAAAAACAGATGTGGAAGGGTATTTCCCTATACACCAACCAAGCAATTCTGCAGAGGACATCAACTGGGTGTCCCCTAATTCAATTCAACTGTGATACTATCTACCTGGATATAGTGTCAGGTCCCATAGATGAAGGGCTCAGTCCCACAAGACTGCACCTACTTCAGATGCCAATCTTAAATCTTAGGTTATGGTCTGTACTTCTGACAAACTGGCTATAAATCAGTGTCTCCACTCTACCCTCTCCTTTGGTTTAATTTGCTAGAGCACCTCAAGAACTCAGAGAAATACTTTACTTACATTTACTGTTTATTATACAGGATATTACAAAGGATACAGATAAATAGCCAAATAAAAATAAAAATTTAAAAAAGACCAAACGGCTAGGCGCGGTGGCTCACGCCTGTAATCCCAGCACTTTGGGAGGCCGAGGTGGGTTCACGAGGTTAAGAGATCGAGGCCATCCTGGCCAACATGGTGAAACCCCGTCTCTATTAAAAAATACAAAAATTAGTTGGGCGTGGTGGCACGCGCCTGTAGTCCCAGCTATTCGTGAGGCTGAGGCAAGAGAATTGCTTGAACCCAGGAGGTGGAGGTTGCAGTGAGCAGAGATCATGCCACTGCACTCCAGCCTGGCGACAGAGCTAGACTCCGTCTCAAAAAAAAAGAAAAAAAAAAAAAAAAAAAAAAGAGACCAAAAAAAAAAACAAAAAACAAATTAATGAATTAAAAAAAAAAAATTAACAGCCGAATAGAAGAGACGCATGGAGCAAGGTATATGAGAAAAGGCAAGGAGTTTCCACACCCTCTCCAGTACACCTACCCTACAGGAATCTCCACGTGTTCAGCTATCTGGAAACTCCTTAACCAGGTCTTTTAGGGTTTGGATGAAGGTTTCTTTATGTAGGCATGATTGATTAAATCACTGCCCATTGGTGATAAACTCAATCTTCATCCCTGTCCACTACCTGATGTATGACTAAAGTTCCAACCTCTGATCATTTGGTTGGTTGCCTTGGTAACTAGCCCCCATCCTGAGGCTATTCAGGAGCCCCCAGCCACTAGTCATCTCATTAGCATACAAAAAGACATCTTGGAGATTCTAAGGCTTTAGGAATTGTGTGCCAGCAAAGAGTAAGAACACCAAATATTTCCTATTATAAATCACAGTATCACACAAGTAATTCCCTACAGCTAAATGGTGTTAATACAATAGAATGTTATTAACCGCCAAAATAATAATATTTGAACTAGTTTTTCATATAAAGTCACTTAAAGAATATGAAAATGCTCGATATGTTGGCTGACAACTGTAATCCATGTACTTTGGTAGGCTGAGGCTGGCGGATCACTTGAGGTCAGGAGTTCCAGACCAGCCTGACCAACATGGAGAAACCAGGTCTCTACTAAAAGTACAAAATTAGCCAGGTGTAGTGGTGCATGCCTGTAGTCCCAGCTACTCAGGAGGCTGAGGCAGAAGAATTGCTTGAAGCCGGGAGGCAGACGTTGTGGTAAGCTGAGATCACACCATTGCACTCCAGCCTGGGCAAAAAGAGCGAAACTGTTTTTTTTTTTAAAAAAAAAAAAAGAATATAAAAGCACACCTATAAACCCACCACTTTGGAAGGCCAAGGCAGGATGATCGCTTGAGGTGCAGACTTTGAGACCAGACTGGCCAACATAGCAGGATCCCTCACTCGTTATCAAATGAAAATAAAAATTTTTTAAATAATAACAAAGAATATGGAAGCCAAGTTGTATATGCACATTAAGGATAATCATGTAAAATACTTTGTACACACGATAAATTTTAGCTGTGAATTGGGAATGATATAAAATCTCAATTATTTAATGTTTGTTAGATTCCTTTTTCCTTTTTAAAGTTGCTTAAGAGGCCCCGCACAGTGGCTCACATCTGTAAATCCTGTCTCTACTAAAAATACAAAATTTAGCCATGCACCACCATGCCTGGCTAGTTTTTGTATTTTTAGTAGAGACAGGGTTTCGCATGTTGGCCAGCTGGTCTCAAAGTCCTGATCTCAGGTGATCCACCTGCCTCAGCCTCCCAGAGCACTAGGATTTACAGATGTGAGCCACTGTACCAGGCCTCTTGAGCAACTTTACATCTGTAATCCCAGTTACTGAGGAGGCTGAGGCAGGAGAATTGCTTGAACCCAGGAGACAGAGGTGGCAGTGGGCCAAGATCATGCCACTATACAGAGCGAGACTCCATATCAAAAAAAAAAAAAAAAAAAAAGTTGCTTAAGGTTTTTCTACTTTTTAGAATTGGGGTCTTGCTTTGCTGCCCAAGCTAGACTTGAACATCCAGCTTCGAGCCATCCTCCCACCTCAGTCTCCCAAGTAGTGGGATTTATAGGCTCAAGCCATCATACCCAGCAGGGTTTTTTTTTTTTTTAGACAGAGTCTCTCTCTGTCACCCAGGCTGGAGTACAGTGGAGTGGTACAATCTCAGCTCACTGCAACCTCTGCCTCCCAGGCTCAATAGATTCTCTTGCCTCAGCCTCCCAAGTAGCTGGGATAACAGGCGCATGCTACCACGCCTGGCTAATTTTTGCGTCTTTAGTAGAGATGGAGTTTCACCATGTTGGCCAGGCTGGTCTCGAACTTCTTACCACAAGTGATCCCCCTGCCTCGGCCTGCCAATGTGCTGGGATTACAATCGTGAGCCACTGCGCCTGGCCTGATTCTTTTTTTTAAAGGACAGATACATAGAGACTGTCTAGTAAAAGTACCCCAAAGTGATTTTTCTTCCTTCCTTTCTGCAATTAACACTTAATAAACACTATGCTAGTCACTGGAAATACAGTGATATATAAAAACTTTATTTTCATAAACTTTTTTTTTTTTTTTTTGAGGCAGGGTTTCACTCTGTTGCCCCAGCTGGAGTGCCGTGGCATGATCACGCCTCACTGCAGCTTCGACCTCCTGGGCTCAAGTAATCCTCCAACCTCAGCCTCCAGAGTGGTTCGGAATACAGGTGTGCACCTTAACACTCACACTAATTTCATTTTTTGGTATTGATGGCATCTTGCCATGCTGCCCAGGATGGTCTCAAACTCCTGGGCTCAAGTGATCCTCCTCCCTCAGCCTCCCAATGTGCTAGGATTATATGCATGAGCCATGGCACCCAGCCAGCCCATAAGCTTGCTTTTTATTAAGGGAGACAGATAATCTAATAACTACA